AGCACTCACGCATCTCTCCGTGGAATTACAACCCTATTATGTACAATTGAGTATACATTACTCCTTATTTTCATGTCATTAGCTCGGAGAAAGCTATTTCTAAAGCACTGAAGTATGTAAGAGCTACTTAGGGGCAGAAAAAGCTGAACCAGGGAAGAAAGATGCAAAACACGGCAGAGGAAGCTGCATTTCTAGCGGCATCTTCGCATGAGGACCAGGGCAATTAAACAACCATAATGTGTGACAAATCATATTTTTTTCCATTTTAACTGTTGTATAGTTAACTCTGGATCTGAATTCACCTGTGCAGAATACGCATTACACTGAGAAATGCTGTAAATTTGACCCTGCCTCCTCTGACTTGTGTCTACACAGATTTCCTTGCAAGAAAGATACAAGCCTTGGGGCCAGATTGGGGAGAAGGTAGAGTTTTCCCCAATACCTACAGCATTTTGTTTAATGACAACAGCTGCCCGTTACTGAACTGTGTTAGCATACCTGCTAAATGGACTACAAAGCAGGGTGAGCAGCTAGGCTGTTATCATGAAAGTTCAAATCCTGGCTCGGCTATGGGATCACCTAGCCTTCCCTCTTGCCTCACTTTTCTCATCTGTAATATGGGGCTAAAACAGTGCCTACTGTATGGGTTTTCTCAGGGATTAAGAGAGGAATGAGCTCGGCACAGGGCATGTGGTAGACCCTTGATGAATGCTCGTTATTTTTTATTACTGACTCGTGAAAGTAGGCAACTCATAGCCATTTTGAGCTCAATAGTCTCATCCAAAAAGTAGGAATAATAATAATCCTTACATCACAGCATTACTCTGAGGGCAGAAAATGATCATGGCGGCCAGTGGTCTTGTTAAGCGCTGTGGGTTAGAAGGTCAAGGAGTTTTGGAGGATGGAAGAGTCTAGTGTCATAGTGAAGAATGAGAAGGGTAAGGGGGCGCATCCTACAGGAGAGCAGAGCATCTGGGAGGACCCTCGGATGCATCCGCTGTGATACCATCGCCTCAGGGCAGAAGGGAGGGAGGGTCCAGCTGCCAACAGGGTGAGACATACAGGAATGGCATCAGGGCAGCTTGGCTGGAGGAAGGAGATGCGGCTGGTTACGCAGGACCTGACCCCACTGAGCCTCGGGAGGCAGCCTAGGTGGACCCCTGTGCCTGAGGAGAGGAGAAAGGTTACGCGCTCAGGTTCAAGTTGATGGGAAGGAAGGCAGCTGGAGGAAGTGAAGTGAGTCGGTCAGCTGCACTTGAGGTTCTGCCAGGAAAGAACGGGAGACATGAGGATGCCTGCCCTGGTGATGGTCACAGCTCCTTTCCTGCTGTGTCACCCCAGTGCTTCTCCCCTGGTGACCCGGGTGACACCTTCAGCAGTGCCCCCCCTTGCCCACGAAGTCACCGATCCACAGGTTACCCGCAGACCTGTGCGCTCCTGGTGGGCAAACCGCTCAAACTGGAGAACGAGTCCCGTTGCTGCTGAGGGAATCCTCCAGCCCCAGTGGAGACCAGGCTGAGCGGGTGGGGAGGACCCGGCCGGCAGCCCCTGGGGGGTCTGCGTGTGTGGTCCAGCGACGCTTAGTGAGGTCAGGGGAGCGGGCAGGGTCATGGGTGGGAGGAGGGGCTGCTATGGTTTCCAGGGTGGAATGAAGTCTTGTGCTTCTGTATTTCAGTGATTGAAAGGCCAAACTAAAGGACAGTAAATAAAATTACCATAGGCTTCCATCACGAGTCAGATCTTCAGGTCATCCAGCCACCAAACTAAAAACTCAACTGGTGACATCTCAGCCAACCCAGGGCACAGTTCCCCTTCTGGCGTCACAGTCCTTCCTGCACAGGTGAGGTCTGCAGGTGTGGGCGGTAGGACTGCTCACTGCCCTGCTCAGAAGGCAGCGGGCTGTAAATGAGGGACTGCGTCCACAGAAATACCTGGTCGAGAGAAACCATCTGTTCCCCTCACCTTCCTGCTGGCAGACTGACCACCTTGAGAGGATAGAAGGAAAAAAAGAAGGAGGAATGACGGGAAGAGAGATCATGTTATCTTGATGCAAGTTTCCACCAAAATTACCTGGAATTCACCCCGGCTGTTGAAGGAAAGCGTCTGCTTCCGACTGTCCTGTCAAGACTCCCCTGAGGTCTGTCGGCCTGATTTCAGGAGATGAAGACAAGGATGTAGCCAGCAGGGGTCCCAGCGGCTGTCAGCCAGCCCCGCTTTTACACCCTGTGATTAACTCAGCGAACCCTTCAGAGGGTCTCTGTTTCTTTTGGGGGGGGTTGTTTTATTTTTTTAACATTTTTTATTGATTTATAACCATTTTACAATGTTGTGTCAAATTCCAGTGTTCAGCACAATTTTTCAGTCATTCATGGACATATACACACTCATTATCACATTTTTTCTCTGTTTCTACATTACATGAGATGAGGCTCCTTCTGGCCGCCTCTGTCGCTGTCTGACTTGAGGAACGGTGAAAGAGGGGTCACGTCCACCCGGGAAAGCCATTCAACCAGGGTCTCCAGCAGGCATGAGGGGAACAAGGTTTATCAACAGGGTCCCCGCTGGCCTCAAGCCCTGCAGAGATTACTGCAAGGACAGATTTGAGACTGGCTCCCTGGAGCATCATACTTTTAAAGAATGGATCCTGCTTCATTTTCCACCTGGCAAGAGGGTTATGCTCAGTAACAGACCAAAGTTTTGTAGGAATTGTTAAGGGTGCAGGTCAGAAACGCTAGACAATTGCTTCAACTCTTCAGTAGAGATGCAACTTGTGACCAGACCAAGAAGGTTTGAGACAAAAATCTAAGAAAGAAATAGGGATTACGCAGCATAGCACATAAAGATGGCCCCGTCCCCTAGTTCAAATGCTGAGTCCACCACTGGTAGCTGGCGCCTTAAACAAGTGGCTTAATGCAGCTGTGGAGCAGAGCAGGCGCTGCATTAGTGGCTTGTAGGTCCTCCCTGGTGGGATTACTGAGGGGCTGTGGGGCACACAGTGAGTGTGCGCGGTAAGGACTCAATATATCTCATCTATTATTAAAACCCAGTTGCTTGTGAGGCAAGTAAGAGAGTTTCGTAGACTGTGAAAGGGCTTTGATTTGTGATGAACGAGGCGCAGCACTCAAGTGTGGTCTCTCCCGCCTCCGGATCTGCAGCTCTGGACAAACTGACTTTCTGGGTCTTGGTCTCCTGCTTGGTAACGAGCTGAGAATGGCACCAGCCTCTCAGGATCCCCCGTAGCGGTTAAGCAGCCTGGTCAAGGCTCACGCGTGCGCCCATCACTAGTGCCTGTCTCTTCTCCTCCCTCCGAGAGTGAACTTGGAGGGGCTTCCGCAGGGGTAAGGGCCTCGGGGGACAAGGGAGTCAGCGCCCGCAGGGGCCGTCTGCACAGTGCCCGGAACACCCAGCGAAAGCCCGGCCACCACGGGCCGTGCTCCGCAGCACGACGCCCCACCGCCTGCCCGAGCCCACACAGGAGCCCCGCGCGGGGCCTGGGCGCTTGTTTCCGAAGCCCTCCTGTCTGATTCTGACGCCGCAAAGCGCCCGGCAGCAGAGCCGCCAGCTCTCGG